CCGCGCCCCCGGGCGAGTGCAGCCCTGCCTTCAACCCGCCACGAGCAGTGATGCCACAGGGGTCCAGCTCCCACCCTCCCGCCCTGTCCCACAGAGAGTGCACAGCTCTGGGGGAACAGCCATCCACAATCTCCCACACTTCCCTCCACCACCTTCTCCTCGCTGGCTCCATCCCAGCCAGGATCGAGCCCAGAGACCCCCACCCATGACGGGGGGGTTCCCGCCACGTGTCCCTCTGCACAGTCGCCCCACACGGTCCTTCCCACCAGTGACAGCCCAGGATTTCAGCTCCATTTTAGCCACAATTTAACAACCTGCCCCAGGTCCAGAGATCCCCAACTCCCGGGGCTGCAGGTCACTGCCCCCATCACCCAGCCCACGCCGACTCTGCTCCCCCACCCCGCGCTCCCAGCACAGAGCGGCCAGCGTTTGCCAAAGCACCCTCCCCTGGCCGCTCTTCTCTGGGACGACCCCACTCCTCCTCTCACGGTGGCCCCACGTCTCAGAGACACCGTGCTGGCGACCAAGAGGGTTGTTCTTGCGGGAGGAGAAAGGGCCACAGTGGCGCGTGGCTGCTGCTCCCAGGGGAGAGGGGCTGGTGTACCCCAGCCCCCTGCTCCCAGCACCAGTCCCTGTCCCTCCTGACGGACAAAAGAAGAGACCTGCGAGGCTCACGGCTTCTTGGAGGATCCTGAGCTTCCCTCTGGAGCTTTCTTGGCTAAAAGCGCCTTCTCCTCCTTCATCTTCTTCAGCCTGACCTTGCTTTTGCCAGAGGATGAGAAGGTGAGCGAGGCCTTGCTGAACTCCAGGGGGAAGACACCCACGTCCCCGTCGAAGCGGTTCTTGGACACCTGCAGGTAGCGCTTCCCTGGCCCTGTCACCAGCTTACGGTCCTGCAGGATGAGGACGTTGTCGGCCTCCTGGCTGGCCTGGGGGGAGGAAAACATCTCCAGGAGGGTGCCGGGGAGGCAGCCAGAGTCACAGGGCTCAGAGGTGCTCACGGGCTGCCTGCCCGGCTCCTTCAAGCCCTGTTACAGGGCATCCCAGGCTACAGCAACTCCAGCACCTTCACGACACCAACCCCTTGTCTTCCCCCGGAGGATCCCAGCGACCCGCCGGGCAGATAGGCTTGAGCCGAAGCCACAGCACACCCTGGGGAAACACGGGAGGGCTGTGCACACTCACAGATCACCTCCTGCCCACCACTGCAGGGTCGTTCAGCATCACAGCAGAGACTGGAGCACTCAGAGAGCCCATCCCTGCACCCTCCCTGGCTCCTTCTTTAATTATCTCATACTACATCCCACTCACAGTCAACAAGCATTACTTAACTGCACCTAGAGTCCCAACAGAGCTTTAGCTGGCAAAGGCTTTGCTCCCTGTCTGCATCTCCCTACCAAGGCCTGGCCAAATCGGGACTCCGCACATCTTCAGCAGGTGACAGGAGTCCTGGGGGCATCCTGCCCCTCACAGCGCCTTTCAGGTCCCCAGCAATGACTCAGGGTGCTGGTGGGAGCTGTGGACGGCTGCCCAACGTATCCCAGCCCCTTCCCGGGAACACGCTGTGCCCGAGGGACAGGAAGGGCCACCCCGGCCCAGCTCACCTTGGCGGAGCCGAAGATGGAGGCCGTCTGCAGCTCCTTCTCGTCATCCTCCTTGCGGGGATGGATGACCAGCGTGATGTGGCAGGTGTTGTCCGTGGCGAACTTGCGGAAGGCACCAACAATGTAGTCCTGGGCGGCGAGCCTGCCGTGGCAGTGAGAACGGGGTCAGGGGCTGGCACTGCTCGGGGCGGGGGCAGCCAGGGGCTGCCAGGTTCAGTCCCACAGCAGGAAGCACCGCGGGGTCCGGGCTTACACTCCGTGGGGCTGCCAGGCCCACGTGGGCGAAGGGATGGGGTGCGACAGGGATCGCAGGTAACCGTCTCACCCTTTCCCACCTCTTCCTCCCCAGGGCAGTGATCGCCCTTCAAGGAAACAGGGCTGCCAGACAGGACTAAAGGGGACACCCTGTGTGGGTGGCCAGCCCCTGCCGTGACACCCAACAGGGCCAACTCCGGTGACGAGGGTGGCGGAGGAAGGAGGGGGCGGCTTGGAAAAGGGCTACCTGTCCACAGAGAGGTGCTCGTGTCCCATCATGAACTGGAGGTTGTCGACGACCACATGGGTGATGTCATACATGTAGACGGCATGCTGCATGGTGTCAATTACCGTCCTGGGCCGGGGGGGAGAACGGGATCAGCTGGGATCAGCCACAGGGACGAGCAGAGGCGAGGATGGGGATGCTAAGCCAGGCACAGGGACGGGGAGAGGCAGAGCGGGGAGGCACCAGGCTGGTGCCGACGGCAGGGCCGCTGACCACCAGGCCCTAGGCACGTCCCACCTCCACATCTCCTCCATCGCAGGATGGGGGCAGCCCCATCCCCCAGGTAAGGGCAGCTGGATCAGGACCCAGCTGCTGCCCACACAGTCCCTGCCCACCATCCCACAATCCTCCCAGCCCGTGGGGACCCTCAGGGCGCGTGGGGATGCATGCAGGTGCCACAGCGCCTGGTGAATAAAAGGAGCTGGAGGCGCCTGTCCTCTGTCCTCAGCAAACAGCAGCGCTGCCAGGTGAGTGGGTCCCCCCGGGGTGTGGGGGGACATATCCTGCCAGGGGCAGAGGCTGGTTTTAGAGCAGCCACCTAGCACAGGGACAGGTCCCCTCCCTTCATCCCCACCCCAGAAGGAGGTTGTCACAGTCCTCACAAGAGCAGGGATGCGGCCAGCTGAGCCACGCAGTCCCCATGTGCCAATCCCGGGACCTGACCAGCCCAAACATGCCTCCTGCCAGCCCCAAATCCACGACCCACTGCAGGAGAAGAGCCCCAGCTCCCCAGGGCCCCACAGCACATGCCATGAGGGGCAAACGTCACCGGGGATGAAGGTGTGGCACCATACTTGATGTTCTGCTGGCCGTGGAAGGTCATGAAGTAGAGCGGGAGGTCCTCGAAGCGGTCAGCCCACTCGTCGTACAGCTCCAGCTGGTCCTCCAAGCGCTGGGCGGCAAACTGCGTCAACATGATCTTGGCCAGGCGGACGTTGTTGATCTCGAAGCTGCCCCACAGCGTGCACACCCCCTGCATGCACAGGTCCAGCGCGTACTCGCTGATAAAGGTCGTCTTCCCGCTGCCCGTCGGGCCTGGCACAAGGACAACGACGGGAGGAATTAGCAGGGGGAGAAGATCTGACCTGTCCTGAGCGCACCAGGGGTTGTTTAGAGGTGGAAGCGCCAGGGAGTGGACTAAGAGTGGCCCATCCGCAGCACTCCCACCATAAACAAGCAGTGTCTCACACCAGGCTGCGTGTCCGGGCACACACGTGTCACCTCCAACAGCCAGCGGGTCCCTGCGGGGTGCAGGGAAGGGCTGGGCAGCCAGCAGGGGGGCACAGGGAGGGCTCAGACAGGAGGCAGCGCATGGGAGCAGGGGGAAGGGAGCCCCTGTGCCACCGCAGGCACGGAGCCCAACCTCACACTGGCGTGTCTGGCCCCACCGCACCCAGGAACGCCCCAGCCTCTCACGCACCACCACGACCGGCTCAGCCGAAGCCACGAGCAGAAAGGGACCGGGAAGACTCGTGAGGCATCACCCTCAGGAGGCTGAAGCCACCAAAGAGCCCTCTGCTCCCCCCATCCACCAGCTGTCTGCTCATCACCTGTGAAGACGGTGAGCTCCCCTCTGCGGTGCCCTTTGAGGAGCTTGTTGAGCTCGGGGAAGCGCGCCCACTTGACGCCGGCCACCTGCTCGGTGTTGACCAGCTCCCCGAACACCTCCTCACGCAGCTGCCGGAAGGAGACGATGGATTTGTGGCTGGCGGGCAGGGCTGCATTTGGTGAGGTTCAGGCCCTGGTTCAGAGCCTCCAAGGGCCGGGGCTGCAGGTCGCCGGGGCGCACCAGGGAGCAGCGCTTGAGGCTCAGCTTGCGGGCAAAGAGCTTGGCGGCTTCCCAGGAGCGCAGGTCCTCGCCCAGCCACAGCGTGATGCGCTTGAACTGCTCCAGGTAGGGGAGGAGGACGGGGGGCAGGCAGGTGGCCCCCCGCGGCAGGGCCAGGCTGGCCACCCCTGTAGCTTGGTGCAGGGCCAGGGCGTCCAGCTCCCACCCAGTTAAGACCAGCTCTGTGTCTCGGCGGCCGACCAGGGGCAGCCCAAAGAGATTGCGATAGGAATCGAAGCGGGGTAAAGTCTCTTCCACGTAAGCGATCGCATCCCCCTTCTTCTCCACCCTCAAGAGCTTCAGGCCCTTCAGGGTCGCATCGCGGGGGCTGAACCAGGGGAAGACTAGGGACTTGGCAGCCCTCAGGTAACTCACTCCGAAGCGTTTCAGGGTGGCGTCCGTCACCAGGGAGATACCAAACATGGCCTTGGTCTTGCTGGTCTCGTCCTCGTCCAGCAGCTCCCAGAGCGGCAGCGCCCGGTCCCAGATGCAGCGGGCATCCTCGCGAGCCCGTCGCGCGTCCTCCTCCGGCTCCTCCGAGCTGGGGGCGGGAACGCCGCGGTGCCGCAGCTCCACGTTGGCCTGGAAGTCCTGCCAGGTGCCCTCGGCCAGGGTGGCCGTGCACAGGAAGCTGCCCGTCGTCTTGTCAATGAAAAGCGTGTAAGGGGTGCTGGGGGCCGGCGGCAGCGGCTGGGGGTCCC